AGGGTAAAACCCTCTTCGATTGCGGCGGCGCCGCTAGCCAGTTTACCGGTACCCTCCGGGTGTTGCGGTCCATGAGTATGGATTTTGTTTTTGGCCTGCCGAAGGAATCGGCGGGGCATCACGGGTGTGGTGGTCTTTGCGAACCATTTGAACAAGATGACTTGTCTTGCGGCAGTGCCGGACACCATCGATGGTGGGTACAGCGACGCTGTTTGCGCTCGTGTCTTTTGACAACATGACTCCCGACGTCAATTGACTCTGATAGAGACCCGAGCTTCACTGGGAAGTTTTGGTCTACAATCTTCAGTGCTAGGCACCAAGTTGATTATGTCAACAGTGGACCATCTGTAGATCGATGGTCAGACTGAGCGCGTAAATCGCGTCGTTGAAGACGTTTATCGCAGCGTCTGCGCTGAGACGCCAAAGCACTGGAGCGCTATGTTGCCACGCGTAGAGCTCGCTCTGAGTAATGCAGTACATTTAAAAGGATATACGAAGGGCAGAGGTTGAAGTGATGTGCGCTTGTGAGTGCAAATGCAGATGTGAGTGTATTAATGTTAGGCGCGCTAGCACGCAATTGTGTGGTCCCACGCGCAACTGCCTTGCGGGCCACATAATATACTAAACCTAAGCTGAAAGCTACCAACCCACTCTAACTCAGTCTTTGCGCGAGCCTAAAATAAGAACACACTTTAATACGCAGACAAATACAGTCTTAACCATAAAGGTTGACCACACACTAACCACCCTCGGTGATATTTGAATTAACAACGTTTTGTCCAAACCACTTCGGCCACTCACCGTAGCTCCAAGTTTCTTCGGTGCGTCAAATTAACCCATTTGCATGCAACGGAACGAATGAATGAAGATAATAGTCAAGATGCGCAGCAGTGAGTGAGTGAGTGAGTGAGTGTGTGAGTGAGTGAGTGTGTGAGTGAGTGAGTCTATGAGTGAGTGAGTGAGTGAGTGAAGATACACGAAAAAGATGCCCAAGGCAAATCTCTGTTGGCCTGGCCTTATGTGTGATAGAGTTTTCACTAAAAGTGTGCGCATCAGTACTGAAGCTTACAACTCTGACTTCAACATGGATTTTGGCTCTGTGGTTCAGAGTGGTAGCTGTAATATGCTAAGTGAAGGTTCGGGTCCCACGACGGAGAAGTTACTTGGTGTTTGAGGTTCAACAAAACACTACTTACCGATATATCTTGGATATGTGTTGACGATCCTTTGTATGTTTGTTTCCGCAATGCCGACAATTTGATGC